ATTTATTTATCTTGTATTATTATAGTTATTATAGTTATATTGACGGTGCTATACTTGTTTACGATATTTCTCAGACCGATGGATTAGGGGAAATAATTAAACTTTCACGTGAATATACTGACACCGATAGCAATTATGTAACTAATAAAATTCCTATTATGATCATTGCAAACAAATGGGACATAAATAAGCAGAAAAGTGAAAAAGATATTTTAAAAGAAGTCAAGAATTCTGTTGGTAATATAATGTATACAATTAATATCGTGTTATAAATAATTTTAATAATTAATTTTTCACAAATTAACCATTTCAGGAGAAGAATTTTTGTGTAATATAACCTCAATAAACGAAAAAACTAGTACTAGTATCAAAGAAATCCTAAAAAGTATTTTATATTATTAACTCAAGAATAATAAATTGCATTATTAACTAATAAATATATTTATTAATTTAGAATGCATATCTGGGCTTTTGGACCTTAAAGGTAAATTGGGATAACGAAGTATAATGTTTTCTTGTATTAGGTCTTCAATGATTATATATATTGCATATTATACTTTAGAAATCAATGATCTAAACGAATTAACTTTCCTAAGCAACAAATTTAAGCCCATGATGCAACATGCAGCACGATTGTATTTATATAGGATCCCCCCAAAAATTATCAATAGTAGTCGAAAACAGCTAAAAGTACTGAATGAAGGAATGGATGGAATAAAATCATTTTTATCACTAGTATGTAGCTAAAAATCATTTGCATTGTCATAATTGTATAAATAACATTCGTTTATTAATTACATAAATTATTAGGAAGTGAGTGTAAATTCAATATTATTAAACATATTTGGTGATTTCATAATAAATGGTACATTAATCAGATACGTTTATGAATTGTTAGATGGTGAGCATATAATATCAACATTTATTAAATAAGTAATATATTATAATACAATTAATAAACACTTCTTCAATGATGTGAAATTTTCAGATTGTGAGTGTAATTTCAAATAATAAATACAGTATTATAATGTTCTAATTAATTTTTAATTACAGAATGTAAGCATATATTTAAATATTCTTTCATAAAATCAGGATTACTTGTGGACTATTGCTAATTTATTGCATTATTAATCCTCGTACCTATTAAGTTGGTAGGTTTCAACAATATTGAATTATAAGTTTATAATGAAGTGTCAATTCTCCTATCGATTACATAAATTACAGGATGTAAGTATAAATTTCAATAATATTTATTTATTAAATTATAATTTTATAATGAATTAATCAATACTCCAATCAATTACATAAATTACAGGCTGTAAGTATAAATTTCAATAATATTTATTTATTAAATTATAATTTTATAATGAATTAATCAATACTTCAATCGATTAGGGAGTGAGTATAAATTTCAATAATATTTATTTATTAAATTATAATTTTATAATGAATTAATCAATACTCCAATCGATTACATA